GACTAATGCGGGGCGACTTCACAGCGACGGCTGTAGATGGGACAACATTACAGGCAGGCGAGTCTTACTTGCTACGGGTGTACAGATTTGCCGCTTGATATCAAGGGATATGATGAGTGCTGGGGTCGATCTATGTGCGTTTTCCCCCCAATGGCCATAGTGCATACCATTAACTCCCGCAGCTACCACTGCCTCTTCTGCCATGGTTATGAGGAGGCCGGAAAATCCTCAGCTGGTGTCCTTGCCGTCGGCGAGACTTCTGTCCCAGCAGGAGCCATAGCTCTCGCTCGCAGTACCAAGCAGTTAACCTCCAAGGCTGTGATCTACTCCTCAAACAATCCCGCGGTGCAGACTGCAATCACAGACCTCCTCGACCAAAACACTACCGACATCACAACAGACGATCGGGAGATTATCTCCCTTGCTCTTGGTGCGGAAGGTTGCGGAATTACTATTACGTTTGCGGACGGGAGCTCAGTTCAGGAGGCGTTTCTTGTGCACAGGCCGGCTACGAAGCTGAACGGCCCGTTTGCAGAGCAGTTAGGTGTGGAGTTGTCGCCGGGTGGAGATATCAAGGTGACACCGCCATTTGGAGCCACTAGTGTTAAGGGAGTTTATGCGGCAGGAGATTGCGCGACCCCGATGAAGAATGCCATGCAGGCGATGCAAATGGGGACTTTCGCGGGGGTGGGACTTGCGCATGACTTGCAGGCTGAAGGGCCTAAGATGTAAAAGCGAGGGCAAACGACTTCACAATACACCTACACTCCAGAGATACAAAGTAGAATGGATTTAATTTCTGTAGCGAAAACAAAGTATTTCAATACCTCATGTGACTTTCATAGGAGATACTGATCGAAACTTAAATTTGTCGCAGCGTTTTACGGCTGCCTGAATAGGCGTTCCAGGAAGCCTAATAGTTATTACACATCGGTATCTCATAGCGGAAGAAGAATGTTGCTTCATTGTCAAAAGGTTCAAACTGTAAGCACACGAATCCATCCTATCAGGGTTCATATGCCCTCTTCCAACGTTGGCCTCTTATGTCTGCGTTGCCTGCGTCGCCCAGAAATTAGACCTGTTTCACCCGTTGTAGCCCAGGGGTTTAGTTCCCATCTGGCCTTCCATGAGATCAAGAATTCATTTCTGCGGGTCTCTTCCAGCAAGGCAGTTCCGCCAGTTCTTGCTTTCACTAATTTTCCTCGTGCTGGCCCTCTTCGTCCGTCTAGCTACGTTGTTAAAGCCCTTGGCAATTTGAATCGCGGTTCGAGCTATTTTAACGACTCTTGCGACAGTCGAGAGAGCAGACAGGAAGATAACAATCAGCGGGCAAATTGGGCATCGCTTCGTCAAATCGCCGCGGAGTACCAGATCCGTCCTGGGTGACGTGCGGATCGCGTTCCGGGAAAACTTGGAGGGTATGTTGTCACGGTCACGGACGGCGGGGACAAGGGCGATCTCGCGCCGTTGATTTCCCTCGCCGATATTGACGTACTTGTCGATATAGTCGTCGTTTTCGAAGAGCTCGTCTGACGAGTCGTCGACCCACTCGTCGACTTCGAGCCCCTCGGGCCAAAACTCAAGCAATTCCATGCTGTCGGTCCAGTCCTCGTCAAAGGTTTCGCTGTATTCTTCGACAGCAGCCACACCCATGGCCAAGGGGACGAGAGCAAGACAACGGGCCTGGAGCAGCGGTGTCAATAGTTGGTTATCGCTTGGAGTTCGAATGTGACACAAGACCCAAGAAGCGATTGCCGCTGAGCGTGGGATTACATACCATGCGCCGAACTTTGGTCCGGTCTTCTCGGTTGCGTGCTCTGTCATAGGTGCGTTGATGCGATTTCTTCCACCTCTCGAAACCGCGATTCTCCTTATACGTCTGTCGTTTGTCTTTGTAGACCTCATTGAACTTCTTCGACTTCTTGTCTTCGACACATTTCTTCTGCTCTCCGTCCGGCTTTTGACCATTCGGACAGTCCTTGCATTTACTGCAGTCATTCGGATTGATGATCTTTCCGGCTGGGCAGTTCTCAACGCAATTGTTGCACGCCTCTCTATAGTCCCAGAACTTGACCTGATTGTTGCCCTGGTTTCCACCTTGGTTCTGACGCGTGTGTAGTTCGGAAGCGTACTTGTCGCGCCCAAAAAGCGTACCTGGATGGAGGAGCTCTGGAGGATAATGGGAAGCGATAACGTGGTTGACCATTATGAAGACGGCCTTGGTGGCTGAAGAAAAGCGCATGATGACAAATACTTGGATAGAGGTATCTGAAAGAATGGAATCAATATTGGGAAAGAATTGATAAAAAAAAAAAAAAGCTATAGACGGCCTTCGGCTCTTAAGTCTGTCAACAAAAACGTGCTAAAATAAAGACAGTTCAAACATTGATATCAAACATGTACGTAGTGTTAGGTTCACGACGTGTGAGACCCGGAGGTCGCACCCAACAGTAAGCCTAAGGGCACCTTCAGCTCATTGACGGGGTCCATGTACGGGGGCTGAATCCTCTACGGCACAGTTTCTCTCCTGGTTCAGGGGGATACGAGGCGGAGCATGCATGTGCAGCAAGAGGTGTACACACCCTGAACTTGCCTAGACCTTGGCGACTGCGCGGCGTTCGGGGGCGGGGCCGATTCGTTATCGTCCGTGTCACTCGCTTCAATTACATACTTGGCATCAGACCAGAAATGGACCCAAAGCCGAAAACACGATACTTTGTGCACCTCCAAGTCAATGAGATACACAATGATATAGCTACATAGGAAATACCTGTTGGTACATCTGCGTTGTCCTCCAGCACGATGATTGGGGTCATGATATCGGGTTGATGGGGGCTTTTGACAAAAGACATGATGCATGACACCCTCCCCCTTTCCATTTTTTCAAACGAATATCTGAGAATAGCAACGTGTTTTGATGAAAATGCACTTGCTGATTCTCGTGTCGTGTTATATCTTTAAAACTCTGTGCCAATTGCAACCCATGAACTTGACAAGACTAATATGACGTAGTGGGAAGTTCTTCATGTTAGCTTGACAGATGATCGATTGGCGATTCTCGATAGTCAAGAATTACATGCATCTATTTCATGAGCCAAAATTTCCTGTCAGTGATATAAAGGCGACGTTCCATATTAAGTACGAGGGCTCATTTTGGGCCCCCCGGACTAAACACATAGACCGGCTACGAAAGACTAGGAGCCTGATAACACAGAAATTAATGTCTGTGCCTTGGTGTCAACGTCAAAGTATCTTCTGCAAATCTATGCATGAATATATTTGGACAGGGCTGTATTCGATGCTTTAATCCCTTGCAATTTGGAGGCTCAAGAGGGGCTAGGGGCGAGTCTTCCTCCATAAAAGCGCATGAGGAGAGTGGCAACATAAAGATAGCCTTATGACACTTTCTTTATGAGACAATAGCAAGGTATCTTTGCGTCATGATATGTTAATATACGAAATTCGCTGTCTTCTTTCTACTCATGCATAACAAACAGCCTCGCGTGGGTTTGATCAATTAGTAACACCATTTCCTCGCGAATGGAATTTGAAAGTTGCAAAGACATGACCTGCACAGTACAGAGGTATTTGAGTTGTTTGATTTGATTTAAATCTAACCAGGCTAAGTAAAAAGAAGTCCGAAGCATGGCCCATGCATAACGCATCACACGTAGCCTGGCTAGCCATCGAGTACGTAAAGTGTAAGCATCCAGGTATACAGTGAAACCCGAGACCGGCCCTTCTCTGAGTGATTTGAAATTGGCCTCTACGTGAGTCTGGAGCGTTGGTGAGTCTGGCATTGGGCCTTGAGCTTTAATCTTCGAGACACATTAGCGCAATGTCCTTTGAGGCCGATGTGGGTTCGATATCGTACCGCTCATGACATTCCAAACCTGAAAAGAACCGTAATTCGGGCCATCTCCGGTGCGCAAGCAGCCGGCCTCGGCCTTGTCGATAATCGTCTCGGGATTGCAGTCGTCCGAAGCGAACATAACCACGTAATCGGGGTTTTCCCCATCGCCGAGGCCCTTGACAGTGAACGATTGGGCCACACCAACATGGTCAGTATGGCAGTCTGGGGAGGCCTCGACTTCTACAGAGCCGAGCGCCGCACTGTTGCACGAGTTGCCATTGTAGAAAGAAAGTCTGTGCTTGAAACATGACGATACTGATGCAGCCACCACGGCGGTTGCCAGGAGTCTGACAGGGATGTGCATTGTGAATGGAGAATGTGTAGAGAGTTTGCGGTGCTGTATCAAATATCTTGCTTGATGGTAGTGATAGTGAAGTGCGTAATCGTCAAACGAGAAGACTTTGCGTGAGATCCGGACGGTGGGTGATGAGAGGCTGGGTGTGACGTTGTGTCCTCACCAATTCTGTGGAGTGTCCCATAGAATTTATAACCTCAAGCCATCCTCGTTTCAAAATAACACAGGACCAGAAATACACCAAAGCTGATTGAAACTTTCAATCTCATGCGATGTCGTAAATAGTACTTCATTGATCGATGTCATGTACAAGATGGTACCCGCGGCCGGCTGAAACGCGGCGGCCTATATTGATTTGGGGGCCTACACGCGCCAACCTGCGTGTCTTGGCTGGGGGCCCGGAATAGCCGCTAGCCTTCAAGAGCCAAGACCCGCGACATGGGGGCGGCAAGATGCGGTGCTCAGCACTGGTTCAGCATTCACTAAACATACCAAGAGGCCAAGCAGAAACAGTGTGGCTTGTGAACACCAGAGCATTGGCACCGCTGGCCATTGGTCCATGGAGGCGAGGTGCGGCCAAGACTAGGTGCCGATTGACGAATGGGGAAAACAATTTTGCTTGCCCAGCCCAGCTATACAGCCCTGCGGCACAATAATGCAGTCTTCTGAGAATTGCACACGCATATGCAGTCATACCAACGTTACAATGATCTTTCTTAACATAGGTACTCCAAGATTTTGACGTTGCAAACCGCTCTTACGGCCCCCAGAAGTGTATACGACACACGCTGAGTGCATGGCCACGCGACATGTTATGAAATGCGCCGAGTTCCAAGATCCTTCGAGTATATTCCCTCGTCAATACAGCCTACATGGCCAGAGTCGAGCTCATGATGACTTCTGGCAATCCACTTGGGCGTGCGTCGAAGCCCCCAACAGCCGCATATTGCGTTCGTTGGGGGCTGCACGGAATTCGAGACCAATTGCAGTTGTGGCATCAATTATATCATTCGACATGGCAATGGTTGTTAAAATGATTAAATAGTTGTACTTCTCCGCCAGGAAGCGGCTCGTCTGGAGTCATCATTCTCATCGAGCAGCAGTGCTATCAAGTAGTCCGAGACTGAGCAACATCATCTTCATTGTCATCTACCTTTCTCTGACTTCTCCTTTCACTCTTATTCTTATTTGCAGTTTGAAATCCATACAGTTTCTCGTCATGAAATTCCCAATTCTTTACGTACAGCTTGCATGGCTGACAGCCGCGGCAACCGCTGCACCGCAAGAAGGCCGCGGAGATGCATCCGACAACGGCGCTTCATGCAAAGCTTTCAAGCATTGGGACTGCGCAGATCCTCCACGAGTCGATGAAGTGGAACTCCTTGACTTAGGAGATCTGAGCCTTGAGGATGCACCAGCGAGAAGACTACGTCTCAGGGACGTCGACTTCTCCGACGTAGACGAAAAGACTGGATTCAATGTCACAGAGTTGATAAGAAGAGAGAGCGCCATCGAAACAGACGACAAAACTCTTCATTCGAAGATCCTGAGGTTGCTCTCAGACCCCGAGGTTGTCGGCGACAACTCGGAGGTTGCGA